TAGTCTTTAAGCGACTTCTTAAAGAGCATTACTTGTCTCAATCGTTCGAAAATCATTAGGATAAATTATGTGATTATATAGTTTTGTATTTATTTGTTTATGTTATTGTTAGTGGTATATATTTGAGGATATATGTATGTATATATGTGTATGTGTGTATATGTATGTATGTATATGTATGTATATGTATATATATATATATATGTATATATGTGTGTGTATGTTTATGTATATACCTATGTATATGTGTATCATATTTTTTTAATGTATTAGTTATTTACTTATATGTTATTTTATTGCATGTATTGATATTATATTAGGTATATTTATATTGCACCACCTACCTAGTACTCACTGTTTTATTCCTTTACACCTTTGGTTGCCTGGAAGAGATCGCTATGTAGCGATAAGGCCGCCAAATTGTACATGTAATCTGCTCTCTGTTATGTTATTTGTAAATTTGTTTGTGGTGTGCAATAAAGTATATTCATTCATTCATTCACTTCAAGCGAACCAATTAAAACACTTCCAACTCCTGAGTTGCAGCATTGGATGACAAGCATTGACCTGTGCCTTAACGAGGTGTGCTCCATCTCTACAGAGGGAAAACTTAACTCTGATCAAAAAATGGGCATTAGCTCGCTTTGTCGAAAAGTAAGCCACGGTACATCACAATTGGTAGTCCAGTACATGTCCCTCAAAATGGATGCCACTAAAGCCCAGACCTCCATCGTATCTCTGCAGAAACAACTTGACCTGTCCCAAAAGCTGCAGGAACTCAAGAAGAGTCATCAAAACCGGACTCTGGAACCACTTTTGCGGACATGGTCAAAAAAGGTGGCCAAACCCTCATTCGCCCAAACAACCTTAGTACCCTAGCAATTTATCCGAGGGACAAGTCCAAATCCAGTGATGACACGAAGTGCCTCTTACAAAAAATAATATCCCCAGAAGAACTCAAACTACTTGTCCGAGGCATGAGGAAGGTCAAAAATGGGGGAGTTATAATTAGCGCTGAGACAAAAGGAGATATCGACAAATTAAAGAACTCCGAGAAGCTTGTATCTTCTGGCCTTACCATGGAAGAACCGACTAAACGACGTCCAAGGATTGCAATTGTTGGTGTCCCTGTAGCCCTCACGGATAAAGAAGTGTTCGAGTGCATTTTCGAACAAAATATTGGCGATAAATTTCCCAATGCCACGCGTGAGTCCTTCCTGGCAACAGTCAAACTGAGCCATAAATCAGGTAAGAAAAACCTTCCTACCTGTAATTACATTGTCGAAGTGTCACCTAGCATCAGGAAGGCCCTTATCAATCAAGGACGAATTTATATTAATTGGACCTCATGCCCAGTCAGAGACTTTACAATAGTAACAAGATGCTTCAACTGCCAGCAGTTTGGTCATTCAGCCAAATTTTGTCGGGAAAGTAGCCCTACATGTAACTACTGTGGAGAGCTCGGGCATTCCTTTAAGGAATGTAATAACAAAGCGCATGCCCCCGTTTGCGCGACGTGTAAACGTTTCAAAAGAAAATGCGACCACAAAACTGGTGAGGAAAGCTGTCCAGCACGTAAATTCGCAGAGGACAAATATATCAACTCCATAGACTATGAGGGCGCCTAAGAGCGCCGCGTATTATATTATTTACTTAACTCTTAAACACTAGTTTTAGTTTATCTTTAAGCTTAAGTATGGCGAATCAATTACTCAATGACCTAGATAACTTTTCTGTGTCTGACGCCAAAACATGTAATGTTGATGACTGTAAACACTTCCTTCCACGTCCTGAAAATAAGTTAATCTTACTTACACAAAATGTTAGAAGCATAAATCGGAATATAACCGGGTTTGAAGTTTTGTTGCATAGACTGGATATAAAAAGTGATATTATTATCCTTACAGAATGTTGGCTGTCAAACCTCCCATCCCACCTACCGATTCTAAATGGCTATTCTTTACACAAAACCGAGAAAAACATTAATCAAAAAGGACGGTTTAGTAATCTATGTTAAAAATAATTTAAAAGTAACTGTCACAGAACCTGCATTCCGGGATAGTAATTGCTTAATCATTCGAATTAATTCAGAGACGATTTTTATCGCAGTTTACAGACCTCCTTCACAAAAAATTGATAGATGTCTAGAGTCCCTTGATATTACCTTAAGCAAATTTAGCACATATAAAAATATAATCCTAACCGGTGACATAAATATTAACATTACCCCTAGGAAAACAAATAACCATGCACATAACTACCTAAATATTTGCTCTTTTCATGGGCTATTACCAACACATTACCACCCTACACATCAAAGCGGCTCTTGTTTAGACCATTTTGTGATTAAATCAAATAACCCTTCTTTAACATTAGCTACTAATTCCTCGCTTACTGATCATCAAGCAATTTTACTAACATTACAATTAGCCTTACCTAGGAAAAACTGCATACGCAACTACACTAAAGTTCATATGACGAACCTTGAAAATGACATTCGCAGCATTAATTTTGACTTTGTTTATTGCTCTGACGATGCAAATACGTCCTTGAGTTACTTTATACATTCTTTAGAATACGCAAAAATGAATAATACATCAACAATAAAACTGTCACGTAAGTATTATAATATTAAACCTTGGATAACACCTGGTCTCGTCCGCTGTATAAGAAATAGAGACAAACTTCATTTAAAATCTAAACTTTCTCCTGATAATTTAATACTTTCTGCTACTTATAAAAGATATAGGAATTTTTGCAATAAACTATTAAAAAACCTCAATATACAATATGATAAAAATGTTTTACAAAAGGCCGGTAAAAACAGTAAACTTGTAGGGAAGTTCATTAAAAATAATACCTTCAGTTCAAAAAAATCTTGGACCCCCACTTGATCTACTTCATTAGACAAAAGCCCAAACGAAGCAACTAATAAAGTAAATAATTATTTTATTAACGTTGGCAAAAAAATAGCAGAGACAACTTTAAAATTAAGCAACAGTCGTAATCCAATTTTTATGCCCACACCCTTTTCTAAGTTAAATTCTTTTGTATTGTTAAATACCGATATTGATAAGATATTAAGTATAATATCTGGCTTAAAAGAAGATTGTGCAGTTGGATGGGACAATATACCTAATCGCATACTCAAAAGATTTAAACATCTACTGGCCGCCCCGTTAACACATATCTTTCAATTATGCCTAGCAAATGGTATTTTCCCGAAAGTGCTTAAAAAAGCAGTGGTTTCTCCTATTTACAAAGCTTGTGATAAAAACTTAGTAACTATAGGCCGATTTCAGTCTTATCTGGCTTATCTAAAATTTTAGAAAAGATTATAAATACCAGATTAATAAAATACCTGGAAACTAACAACTTGCTGTCAGACAGACAACTTGGATTTAGGCCTAAGAGATCATGCAATGATGCCTTGCACCAATTGACAGATTACGTCACAAGTAATCTAGACAATGGTATGCACTCAATTGGGATCTTTTTAGACCTTGCCAAAGCATTTGATACTATTTCTTGCCCTATACTATTGCAAAAGCTTGAAACTCTTGGCATAAGGGGAACTCAACTACAAATTTTTTCTGATTACCTCAGTGATCGCTTTCAATGTGTAAAAATCGGTGAGTATACAAGTACTGAATTACAAAACAGCTCTTATGGAATCCCACAGGGCAGTATCCTGGGGCATACATTGTTCCTAATTTATATAAATGATTTATGCAATCTTCAACTTCAAAATGGTGTCATTATGTCGTATGCAGATGACACAGCCCTGTTATTCACATCTATATCACGAGATGAGGTTTATAAATATGCTCAGCAAGGCTTTAACATAGTATCTAATTGGCTTCTTAATAATCTCCTACGCTTAAACGCTGATAAAACACAATATATGTTATTTTTAATGAGAAATAATAACATACCTACTCAGCTAAATATTTACGCTCATAATTGTAACTCGTATAATGACACTGCATGTGCATGTGCCGCATTAACAAAAACAGACAACATAAAATATCTAGGTATCACGCTTGACACAAATTTAAATTTGCGCAAGCACATCGATTTACTTTGTGCTAGAGTTCGTAAATTAATATATATTTTTAAATATCTTCGTAACATCGCTGACTTCAAATTGATAAGACAGGTTTATTTAGCTTTGTGTCAATCCATACTCACTTATGGCATTACTTCCTGGGGTGGTGCTGCTAGAACAATATTGCTCCCATTAGAACGTGCTCAGAGAGCAGTTCTAAAGGTAGCCACTTTCCGTCCTTTCATGTTTCCTACTCTTTAACTTTACTTGGCACGTAGTGTACTAACTGTCCGTCGGATGTTTATCCTGAACATCATATTAAAACAGCATACCGAACTTCCATTTAACTTAAAATCCATAGACAGGAGAAGAATGGACTTGGTTTGTGTAAACCCTCAAACCAAACACGCATTTGTGAACAAATTTTACATATTGGACCCTTTCTATATAACAAGCTCAACAAGTCACTGAAGGTATATAGTCTAAGTTATAAGAACTGTAATATAAGTGTAAGGGAATTTCTAAATAAATTAAACTACGAAGACACAGAGAAGTTGTTAGAAATTCTAAAATAGTTTGTATTAATTTTAGGTAACAATTAATTGATATTTAGTTATTTTATTTATTATATAATATAGTTTAATTATTTAAATATCTAGTGTCCTACATTATTAAACCCATTGTTTAAGTGATGTCTGAAACACAGGTACTCAACCTAGTTCAGGCAGGTAGCTAATATTATAAACTTGACTTTTTTATTTTTCTTTTGTATATTCTACATTATTAAGCTACACATAGTTTTAATTTTATCATAGTATGTTATTTTTGTTAGACTTATTGTTACTTTATTTAATTGTAATCATATTTATTCCTGTATGTAAACATGTGTAATTGGAAATGAAATAAATATTTATTATTCATGAACGTACTAAGAACAACGGACGGAGTGCTGTCATTGTGCAGATTGAAGTACCGTAATGGCGGCGGGTTTTAATGTATGCGTGTTTTTCAGAGTTGCCAGCTGAAGAAACTTTGCCTAAAATTTTATATTGATATTCACATATAAATATGACTAAATACGTACGTCTTATAATAGTCTATAATAATAGTTTCATAATTTATAAATAATATAAAAAGTAGAAAGTTAAAATCAAACGAAGTTAGTTAGTTGCCAAAATGTTTTATAGGAACTTAAGCTGACATGAAAAAATACACTATGGTCTTCTATTAATATTTGTATTCATACTTATATAACCTATTATATTTTGCTTATTTAAAATGTAGAAGGCTTAAAAATATGAAATTACGTACGTTTCTGTACACAAAAATTTAGAATTATATTAATTTACTAAATTATTGAGCGGGGCTTTTTTCGTAAATAACGTCAACGATGATCTAGTTGATGAGGTAAATAAAGTTTATAAAATAATAAAATAATACTAAAATCCCTAATGTTGTGTTAATTTTTTTGTAATATTGCCTTCTGCTTTCATGTGTTCTTAGAATTTCTTCCATTTTTGATATATGGTGAAACCTAATGGTTAGATACTTTTCTGCTATGTATTTTATTAGACTTATTTTGTGTTCTTCTCCCAAGTACATATGCTCAGATTCTAAATTTAAAAACACTTTATCGCTACCTACGAATTTTTCTAGTATTTTAATCAGCATATAGCTATGTTGCTTGTCGTTGTAAATAGTTATATTTTCTTTAATTACTTTTTTTACCACTATTTCACATGGCAAACAAATTTCATACACATCTTGTGATGGGAAACTTAAGCCACCTCTAGTTTTTAAATTTATAAGACTGTGAAAAGAGTATTTCATATCAGTGGTTAATCGGGAAGTACAGGCCTGACAATTTATTTTGTTTTTCGCATAGTGTGTTATGCTTCCAGCAAGGTATCCTATTATCAATTTTCTGTAGTCATCAAACTCTGCTAAATCTAACCGCCTAAGCAGATTGTCATCCTCACAGGAGATTTGGTTCATGAATTAAAGTTCAGTTTTATTTTCTTCTTCTTCATGACGGTAGGTAGAAATAGTTGTATTTATTATTTGAATAGCGGAAGAACAGTTTAAAATTGTTACTTGTTCTAATGGCACACAATTTCCAGTTGTTACGCATCTTATTTCTAGGTGTGCTAGTAGCTTTCTATAGCATCCTTTAAATTGGCGCACGTTCGGATTATCGTTAAAACCACCCTGCATTCTTATACAAGAAAAGAACATTTCCAGGTGATCCTGACTTAACTTGTACGTAGGCAGAAAGACTAATGTATTACTAACGATTAGTTTTTGAGCTAAAAATTTTAGGCTTTCTATATTTATCAGGATTCCCATAAAACCAGTCTTACATTTGGCAGTCACGACTGGTTTATTGTAATGTGTGATTACAAAGGTTGTTCTTCCGTCTTTTTTTGTTTTTCTTTTGGAGGTATATCTTATTTGAATATTTAAAATGTAATCTTTCAATATATCTAAGAAACAAATTATCTGATCTTTATTTTTTGAACAAAGAGGCCTTTTAAAATCAAACTGGTTCATACCTTTTGAATTAAAAATATCGAAGAAATCATTAATATGTTTGATGAAAATTTCTGTAGCTTCAGAGTTTTGAAACTCTTCAAGTTTTAATATATTTCTGCAAGCATTAAGAGCTTTTGCGACACTTTCGCTAAAAATTTGTGTGGCTAGCTTTACCTTCATAATATTACTTTTGAAGTTAATGTGTTTTTTAGTTAATTTGTTTCCTAAATGTAAACCTTCGGTTTCTTGCAACTTATTTAGCTCTTGAATAAACTTCCACTGAATTTAAATTATCATCTTTGTTAATGAATTCTCGTTTAGACTCTAACTGATTTCTCAACAGTTTTATGACGTGGCTAGGATCTAGGATAAAAGCAATTTCAGAACCATCACTTGGATGTTTAAAAGTAGTTTTTAAGGTATAGGGATTTAAGTTACAACCAAGCAATTCTAAAGCATTAAAAATAGTTGTATGGCCATCGCAAGTTAAACTCACTACATCAACATTAGAGTCAAAACATTTTATGATACAGAGTTTTATTAAATTAGCTTTTTGCTCACCTGAAAAAGAATTGCTCAAAAAATAGCCTAATGGTAATTTAAATCTTTGATTGATACCAACCAAAAGAAAAACCAAGGCTTGCGAGGCCAACGGAGCACCTTCTTCCGCACCTGTTCCAAAATCTTCCAGTCCTATATATTTTTTCCCGTCCCAAATTTTTTGTGGTCTTATAGCAACCTCATCATAAGTTAATGAACACAAAATTCGGTGCTCATTTACCTGAGACTTAGCTTTTAGTGCCAAGAATGATTCCTCCGTAAAACCGGGGTCTCCTTTAAGGTGACCATACCATTTGGATAAGGTCTTTCTGTGAGAGATACACGTATTAAAGTTTTGCCTTACATAATCGTATGCTTTTGGGGAGTAGTAATTTAAAGTCATACAAAATTTACGCATTACGGGTGTATACTTAATATTTTTATGTAACTTTTTTTTTGTTATAAACATTGAAAAGATTTGCAGCCACAAGATCTTCATTGAGTTTGTTAAATAAATCTGTGTCGATAAAATTTTCATTCCTAAGCGTTTTTTTAACAATATTTTTTAATGAAGTATTTCTATTTTTAAGCCTTCTAATTTTCTGGTTTAAATTTTTATCTTTTGTTTTTGCTGTGAAATGTACAAATCTTTCTTTATTATTATTTTTTTCAGACGTTTTTTCTTAGGAGTGTATAGGATTGACAAAGGTTGTTCAAAATCTGCTTCCGTTGGTGCCACATCAGTTGCATCCTTAATAAATAAAAAAACACTTTTAGCATTACATAAAAACCACACAACGTAAACTTACAGCATGTGCATGACTATAAATTAACTTACGGTATGGAAAGGTGCATCTGTGGAATGCAAAAAATCTGTTTTATTGATCAATTTCTCAGCTTCAAAAGAGATCTAAAAAAAGAAAATTTTAGAATTACATTTAATCATTATAGACAAACTATAAGTGTTTATATGTTACTATGTAATAAAAAATAAATTAATGGCTCATGAAGGTACTATTAAAGAATAATGAAACTGTCCATTTTTACCTCCGAAACAGGAGTGTGCCCTTTGAATTCAATAGGAAGAAGTCTTTCTTCATTAGAAAGTGTACGTCTATCCAACGATTCCTAAAAAGCAATTAGAATGAATTAAAGTTTGTTAAGTTTGTCTGAATAAGCATTTAATTAATGTTATGTAAGCTTATAATATAAATAATTACTTCAAATGATCTTTCCAATACAGCAGGTTGTTCAAATTGCTGCTCGTAACTCGGTGGTTTCCATAAAAACTATAAAAAAAGTTGTAAAATCAAACACATGTCATGATTGATAACATTACACAAACCTTCAGTTATTCAAAGGAACCTTTTGTGGGACGGCATAAGTCACAACGCGTACCAATCCTCCTTTCGTTGTGTACAAATCGCTTGTTTGAAAATGTTCGCTGCAAATAACACTTGATTTCGTTGGATTCCAATCCATTTGTCTTCTACACTCTCTAATTATCTGAATCCAATCTTTTCTCCATTCATTTTCCTTCGGAAACCTAAAAAATGTTAACGAACATTGTTCAGCACTTCGGTGATAAGGGAGATTTATTTTGACACGTTGGAAACACTGGTAATCACTTTAATGTATCTATTAATTTAGTTAATTTAATCTCATGTATACTTATTACTTATTTTTTATAAAGTTAGGGAAATAAAATTTCGAAAGTTGGCAACATTAATTTCGTCAAAGAAAAATTTTGTTACATAAATTACGAAAAGATATAATTAAAAATAATCAAAATAATGCGTTAAAGAGTGTACTTACCTGTGAAAAGTGATTCCTTGTTTTTTTTTTATCACGTAAAGTGCTACGGGAACAACATTTTACGACGCAGGTTGGCATAATTAAAAAGTTATTTCGATTACTTATTGCGTGTGTCCTTCATCAACGCTAGCAGTGTAATGGCGGACGCCGAGCTTACTATTATTTGAATGTGTGGGTGTTAACGTGTAAATAAACGTTATCGAGCTTACTATGGTGCTTCAATATGATAGTTTACGGAATTCCGTCCGTTGTTCTTAGTACGTTCATGTTATTATTATACTTATGGGGTATCTATATAGTTTTCTCATCTGGTTGGGTTCTATAAATATATAATTATAAATGAAAATGAAAAGATAAATATACATAAATATCAATAACATAAAATAAATATAAAAGAACATAAATAAGTAAAAGCCCAACCAGATGGAGGCCCTCGGCAGGGGAGACCAAACGGCCGAGGGTTAGGGGGAAAGGGAAAGAAACCGGCGGACGATGCGGGCGGTATCGAGGAGCACCGCCTTCTGCATTTGAACCTGGAGCGGTCCGCCACGTAGTCCCAGCCGCCTCAGATGACCCGAGAGGCTGACTGGGATTAGCCCGTTTGCAGAGACGACTACAGGAATAATTTCGGTCGGCAGACCACCCCACATGTCGGTCACCTCGTGAGCCAGGTCCAGATATTTTGTTTTCTTGTCTGTTTCGGCTTTCACGAGGTTCTCGTCATACGGAATGGTAATGTCGACCAAAAATATCCTTGACTGTGCCCGGTCCATCAGCACAATATCAGGTTTATTCGCAAGAATAGTCCTGTCTGTGATGATGGCCCGGTCCCAATAGAGCCTGGCGCGATCATTTTCGAGCACGGCTTCCGGCAAGTACTTGTAATACGGCAATTTCCGATCCACGAGACCGTATTTCAGAGCGAGCTCCTGGTGTAGAACTCTGGCTACTAGGTTGTGCCTGTGCAAGTACTCAGAGTTAGAAAGCGCCGAACAACCGGAGATAACATGCCTAAGTGGCTCACCGGGATGGCGACAAGCTCGACAGATGTCGACGGTGCCATCCTTTAGGATGTATCTCCGATAGTTGTTGGTCTTAATAACCTGATCCTGTATTGCACAGACAAAACCCTCGGTTTCCCCCGAAGAGATCACCAAAGCGTAGCCAGTGGAGGGAGGCTACTGTGTCTACGAAAGGCTCATGTAGAGCCTTGTAGAACCTCCCGTGGAGCTCCTTCTCCTTCCATACGGTCTCCCGGTCGGAAATGCTCTGCACTGCCGGGTCTTGCCATTGCTCGTTGGCTAAGGATAGAGGGGTAAGTCCTTTATCACAAGAAATGACGTCCTTATAGAATGGATCATCCGATCTCGCAAGGAAGTAATCACGGAGGCTGCACACTTCGCGATTATGCATGGTGAGCGCGCTCAAGAAGCCACGACCACCATGCTTCCGCGGCAAGTACAGCCTCATTACCGACGATCTCGGATGATGCATCCTATGGGACGTCATGGTAGTGCGGACTTTTCTATCCAGGGCGTTAAGTTCAGTCTGAGTCCACCTGAGTATGCCAAAGGTATACATGAGGACAGGCATGACCCAACCGTTATATGTGTGTGCCTTATTCACACCGGACAAAAGGCTGTTAAGCACTTTGGTCAAGCGTGCATAAAACACGTCGCAAACTGACTGTTTCATACCAGCCTCATCGATACCGATGTTCTGTGACATACCCAGGTATCGGTATGTTTCAGCCTCGGAAAGGGTTCTTAAGTTGACGGGCATAGATAAGTCTATGCCCTCAGAGTCAGCAACCCTTCCCCTTTCAACATGGAGGACCGCACACTTATCCGTCCCCAGCTCCATTCTAATAGAATTGCTAAATTCACACGTGATGTTTAGCAATTCCATAAGATGGGAGCGACTGGAGGCGAATAATTTGAGGTCATCCATGTAAAAAAGGTGGGTCACTTTTGTACCTCCTTTCCGAAGCTGAAATCCCTTCCCGGAGCCCTCCAGTAAAGTACTGAGAGGGTTCAAAGAGAGGCAGAACCAGATTGGACTCAGACAGTCGCCCTGGAATATACCCCTTCTTATCCTTATGCGGCTTTCCGCAGCCGTCATCCGCTCGCCTAGATGACAGAGGATCGTACTCCACTGCCCCATACACTGCTCGAGGAAGTCTCGAACTGTATAGTCAATCTTGTACAGCTCGAGGACCCTCTTTAGCCATGTATGGGGCACCGAGTCAAATGCCTTTCTGTAATCTATCCAGGCGGCGGAGAAGTTCCGACGGTTGCGTTTCACCACTTTGCCAATGACCGCGTCAATGAGGAGTGGTTCCTTGGTTCCACGACCGCCGCCCCCGACATCCATTTTGAGCGCGCGACATCACCTGATTTAAGTCCAGGTGACGAGCGATTCTTGCGCTCAAAATGGATGTTAGTGTCTTGTATATGGTCGGTAGACACGTGATGGGGCGGTATTTGCTCGGGTCTGTGGCACCCTGATCTTTAGGAACCAAATGAGTGATCCCAGTAGTGAAGAGGCTTGGGAGCGACTTCTGGTTGAGAGCCTCTTGAAACTGTCGGGCGAGCACAGAGTGACACACCATGAACCCCTTCAGCCAGTAGTGATGCAGCCCGTCAAGCCCCGGACTTTTCCAGTTCGGGGCCCTACGGACCGCCTCAGCTACGTCATCCGGCGTTATGATGACGGGGTCCATGGGCGTAATACTCGCACACTGACTCGCCACAACTTCCGTCCAAGGGCCCTCGTTGTGGTTTACGGGCTCTGACCACAGGCTGCGCCAGAATGCGACCATGTCGGCCTGATTTGGTGCAGGGCCCGTTCCACTTACTATTGGTCGCTCCAATGATTTATAGAGCCTCTTCTGATCACTCTGGAAGAGACGATTCTGGTTGAACCGTGTCGACCTCTCGGTATATCGCCGAATCCGCTTTCCCCAAGCAGCTATTCTTTGCTTCAGGTCGTCTATGCGCTCCGTCAGTTTTTGCATTATATCCGGCTGGGACAAACTAACATTTGTCCCAGCAAACGCCATCCTGACGGTGCGCACAATCCTTGGCCTGGTATTGCCTGACCTGAAGCATATCAGTCTGCCGATGAGGGCCCTAGCCTTTGCGATACGTTCTTCAATTCTTATTCTCCAGGCTGGGATAGCACTACTTTGTCCAGTAGCGCGTCCAGCCGTGGAAAGTTTGGCACCTATAATACGGCAGACTGCCAGTGCGGCGCCAAAAAGAATTGAGTCCGTATCGCAAAGGTCCCGGCTGGCTTCCAAATAGGTAACCAGCATTGGGTTCAGAGCCCTCACGACAGCCCGATTCCGCTTGCTTAGGGCTAAGCGGGGAAGTCGCGGTCGATTTTCGAGAGTCGTACTGCGCGTTTCCACAATCGCCTCTTCCAATGTACTCCTCATTTGCTCTAGTTCCAGTTCCTGGGCGACTGTTCCATCATCGTTTGAATCAACCACAACTGGCGTATTCACGGCGGCATCCAGATTTGCCGTTTGCTCAGCAAGTTGTGGCGCCGCATCCTCAGCCGCAGCATTTTCACCCGATGAAGGAACAGCCTCACGTCGTAGCCGTTCGAGTTCGGTGACATCAAACGTATTTGAGCGCAAGATATACCGAACTCGGTCTGCCAGGTTTTGCTCGGTGACGGTTACAGATGGCTCCAGCTCAGCAAAAAGTCGATGCATCCTTGCCCGATACGCAAAACCTCCAGTTTCTCCCCCTTTCGCCCTAAAATACGCCCGCAATGCGTTGCTGTTCATCTGGGTTGTCCAACGCATGCGGCGTACTCCACCAGTGGCGGGTGCCGATTGCTGAGCCCGCGAAGACCCTGCCGACACCAAGCCAGCTGGTGGGGATGATGGATGCGAGGAGCTGCTGGGTGGTCGTGCAGCACCTCGCGCTCGGCTGGCGGTTCGCATGCTGTCGCGTCCAGCGCCAGCTCTAGACGCGCCCTGGCGACCTCCAGGCAGCGGCCCTTTGCGCGTTCCATTTGATTCCATCATCCATTTTAGGGCGTCATTTAGCGGGAGACGCCCAGACCCGGCGCCGTTTCATGGTTAGGCCATGTGCACAAGCGGGCCTTGGCACCTTCAATTTTTGCCGAGGCACGGTACTAACACCTCTTGGCAAGGTGCTGACTGACTGCGCCGACGTAGCGGTTTTGTCACATAACCGTTATATCAGCGGGCGATGGGGTCGTCACTTCCCTACGCCTTTATTATTATTATTATTATTATTATTATAATTTCAAGTCAATGGTCGGACACGACATTTGACATACAATTTTATGACTAGAAGGGCGCCATCTTGTAAAATCTTCAAAAATTGGGATTGCATTTTTATTTTTAGCAAGTTATTTAGTTCGATTTATTCTCTTATTTTACTTTTAATAAAATCCCTGAATTTTTCGCTTTTTTCGGTATAGTGTACATATCCTGGGCCTTAAATGGACCGTCTCCTTTACCCTCTAACTATAATAGCGCCACCCTTATTTAAAGCTTTTCTACGGACACTTTTTAATACACAGTCTGTTCTCCTTACCTCTACACTCCATAGTTCACAGGAAGAGTGTAAAAACGTGGTCTAGACGTTTATTTGAATAAATCCTTATTGTAAGCATCGTGATGCTGGTGAGTTCAACAATTACGTTTTTCTGAAATAGTTATGCATATTTTATTAAATGTGTTTATTTCGTATTGTAGAGGTAGATCAAAAATTGTTATATAGCCTTGCAAATTTTAAAACGGTAACAATAAACAAAGTTTATGTTTAACACTGGATATACTAACATGTTTTTAACAGTGCCACGCAACAGCTTTGCTGTTGCACGTATGGCCGGCTCAAACCGGGGTGGTACCACGACCTCACAGAATCCACGACCAAGTTACTCCACTTCTGAGCGTGGGTGCTCAGGCTGCCCCGCGTATTTGGGGGGGGGGAGACAAAATTCAGCTCAAGACAACAACTGCTCGTGGCAAGCTGAGCGATAAGACCAAGGTGACCCCTGCAACGCCATCCGTGAATTGCTGCAATATCAGGGGACTTAATTCTAACCTAAACGCCGTCCACTTCCAGACGGCGAGGCCGGCTCTGCTCTTTCTGACCGAGACGCAGGTGTCCTCTCCGGCTGATGCTTCGTATCTCTCCTGCCCGGGGTATAAACTGGAACACTCCTTTGTGCCTCGGGCTGGAGTTTGCGTATACGTCAGAGAGGACATCTGTTCTGTGTATTCCAGATGTAGAGGATTATGCACCGTTAACGCCCCTTTAGGCTCCTCGGACCATTGTCTTTCTTCAGGCTGCATTCTGCAGGCTACCGCCGAGTTTGGCACTATAGGTCAGTTGATTGGGATGGGATGCGGTCTTTCTTTTTATCCTACCCTTGGGGGCGGGTATTGCTTCTCACCGGACGATCCCAACGTTGTTGCTGATTCCGTCGCTGATGTGGTACTTCAGGGTATGGAACTTATATTCCTTCTTCTGTGGTGCCCATTGGAGGCAAATAGCAGCCATGGTTTGGTCTGTGCTTCTGCAAAATAGCATCATGCTATTTTGCATCAACGTCCCGGGATGTAAACACCAGCGCTCTAAAAAAGAAGTATAATTCCGCTTCCAGGTCCTTCAAAAGAGTCATTGCCAAGGCAATGTCAGAGAACATAGGCAGAATTGCCGAGAAACTAGTTTGCCTTCCTTCTGGAACCCGTGCATTCTGGTCTCTAAGCTCTAACCAAGGCTGTCCAAGGGAATTTTCGTCAGCCATCTTTTCCATCCCTGCACACGGAGGACGATTCATGGCCCATGCCGCAAAGGAGAAAGCCGATATGTTTGGCTCTTTCTTTGCGTACAACTCAACTCTCGATGACGGGGGGAGTATGCCGCTGACTATCCCGCGGTGTGAGTGTTCCGTGCCCGAGGTGCGGTTCACACAGCGCTCGGTTCGTAAAGCACTCCTCTCCCTGGATATCCACAAGTCAAGTGGGCCTGACGGTATCCCAGAGTTGGCACCGGTCTTAACGCGTCTTTTCCAGTACTCCTACTTCCTAGGCGTAGTCCCAAAACAATGGAAGACGGCTTTCGTCCACCCGATTCCTAAAAAAGGCGACCGCTCAGACCCGTTCAACTCTATAGTTGAACGGGTTTGAGCGGTCGCCTTTTTTTGGGCCTATGCCCATCGCCATCACCTCTTGTTCTCCAAAACAATGGAGTCCATTGTAAACTGCCAGCTCATGAGGTACCTTGAGGATCACCAGCTGATTTGTGATCGCCAATACGGTTTTCGTCGTGGTCGATCAGCTGATCAGGTGATCTTCTGGTCTACCTGACTCGTAGATGGGCGGCGGCAGTAGAGTCCAAGGGGGAGGCATTGGCCGTTAGTTTGGACATTGCGAAGGCCTTCGATCGGGTTTGGCACAAAGCGCTTCTTTCGAAGCTCCCTTCCTATGGGCTTCCCGAGAAATTATGCAATTGGATCACCAGCTTTCTTGCAGATCAGAGCATCAAGGTCGTTGTAGACGGTGCAAGCTCCGATTACAAGCCTATTAATGCTGGTGTTCCACAAGGCTGCGTGCTATCACCAACGCTGTTTCTTCTGCATATCAATAATATGTTGCAAACCGGTAACATTCATTGCTATGCAGATGACAGCACTGCTGATGCTCTGCACACCGGCCGTGCCAATATTTCACGAGGAAACGTCTCCGAGTACGGGGACAAAGTTGTGTCTAAAGTCGAGTCTTTGCTGAACACAGTCTCGGATTGGGGGCGACTAAATCTAGTCCAGTTTAACCCCCAGAAGACACAAGTTTGCGCGTTAACCGCTTAAAAGAACCCCTTTGTCGTATTTCCTCAGTTTCAAGGCACTCCCCTTGTTGCCTCAGCCAGTATCGGAATCCTCGGCGTCGACATATCGAGTGACGTGCAGTTTCACTTGTAAGATAAGGCCAAATTGGCCTCTAAAAAGCTTGGCTTGCTCAGCAGAGCGGGACAGTATTTCATGCCGGCACACCGCCTGTAACTTTACAAGGCGGGTTCGGCCGCAATACTGTTCCCATGTCTGGGATGGGGCTCCCCTCCCAGTGCCAGTTCCTTTCACTTAACCGCATCCAGCGCAGAGCGGCTCGAATCTTCGACGACCGAGTGCTTTCCGATCGGCTCGATTTACTGGCGCTGCGAAGAGATGTTGCATCTTTTTGCGTCTTTTATCCCATCTATCACGGGGAGTGCTCTGAGGAGTTGTTCGGATTAATCCCAGCCGCCAAATTTCATGAACGCAATACGCCCTCCCCATACCATCCACACCATCTGGATGCTTGGCGGTCCACCACTGTACGTTTCACTAGGAGTTTTCTTCCGCGTACGACCTCTCTGTGGAATAATTTACCACCGGCGATTTTTCCGGACCGATACGACCTGGGGACCTTCAAGAAAAGAGTTTACTTCTTTCTAAAGGGCCGGCAACGCACCTGCAATTCCCCTGGTGTTGCGGATGTTCATGGGCGGTATTAGTTAACATCAGGTGAACCGTATGCTCGATTGCCCCCTCTTCTATAAAAAAAAATGTCATGTATATTTTGTTCATTATTGGATTTTTGAACCAATTCGCCAATTTTGTATTCTGTGAACTCTGACAATAATATGTTACGTTTTATTCTTGAAATATTTAAGAAATTATATATTAATTTATTTATTATATCGTAATCCAGTACATTACCCATTACTGCATGTCCATAACTGGGACAGAGAATAAAAATGCTGAACAGTACATGCAAAGAGAGAATACACAAGTATAGACCATACTAAGACTAAGCACACAAGGTCAGATCACGCCAGAACGAAATACACAAGAACTGAATGCACGAAGAGAGCATAAAGAAGAACGGAGTGCAGAAGTACAGATCTTAACAGAAAATAATACTCAAGGACTAAATGAAATTGGACAGAATATAAAAGTGATCACAACACAAAACTGAATGCAAGAGGACAGATCATGCCAGAGCAAAATACACAAGCACCAAATTTTAATATACAAGGAAAGAACATAGAAGAACAGAATGTGCACGAACAGAATACGCAAACACTGAATGTAGAAAGGACAGAATAAAGAAATAATCTAACACCCAATTGGACAAGGAAACAATGAGCAACTTTCTCAACAGTATACTATGCTACATCACAGAATTCACCAGTGTCGTATCATTCACTATATTGCAACAGCTACAACATTACCAAACGACGTGGCAATCCCGTCACCTTTTAAACGTGTCTTATTTTGGCCCAAACTTGAAACTAAGCAGCGACGCGAGCGAAACATGAAGAGAGTAATCTCTTCAAGAAGAAAAAGAAAAACGAATAAAACAAAGAAAAGACAAAAGTATTAAAAGAAAAGATGATTCTAGAAAAGAAACAAAAACAAAAACGAACGAAAAATATAAGGCAGCATGATTCGTTTTCAGATGATGACATGGAAGTTGAGTATGCTGAAAGCGGTGATTCCGAATATGCTGAAAGTGGGAAAACAGACTCTGAAAATGAACCTTTAAATAAAATCATTTCTAACAAGAAAACTTTGTGTACGAAGAAAACTAAAGGTGTTAAAAATGGCTCCTGCGTTAATGTAAAATATCGGGGAATATTATCCGGGTAGAATAGAAAAAACAGAAGGAAATTTATATGAAATAAGTACAACGGTATTATGTGCAGGACACTCTTTCAGATGGCCAGATAAGTTAGTTAAAGTTACAGCCTATATACGTCCCACTTCTGGGCACAGGCCTCCTCTCATTTCTGAGAGGGTTTTTGGGCAAGGAATAGTCCGCCGCGCTGCCCCAATGCGTGTTTGCGAACTTCACATGTGTTCGAAATATCTTCTTTTTTTTCTTATTCCTCAGACATGCAGGTTTCCTCACGATGTTTTCCTTCACCGCCGAGCACGTGGTAAATCAGCACTTAAAACTGCAAATAACAATTTCATTGGTGCCAGCGGTGTTCTAACCCGGTTTGC